ATCCGTTAAAATTGGAACGATACAGAAAATGAAGATTAGCATGGCCCCTGCACAAGGATGAAAAAAAAAAAAAAAAGACTGCCGTCTTTACCCGAATTGAATGCCCGGTCAGTATCGCTGTCGTTGGGGCAACTCTCAGTCCAGGTACATCGATAATGACTGGGCGTTCTATTCCAGTGAAGACGGTGATGTGCTTGTATGAAAAAGGATGTGGTAGTATTGCTGACTGGCTTTCTTTTTTTTTTTTTCTTTTTTTTTTTCTACTGTTATTCAATGCATGCTTGTCAGTGTGTTAATTAAACTGCATGATGACGGGGGGTTAATCCTGGCTGTGGAACACCTTGGCTATGCCTGAGGTTTAGTACTCGCACTACAGTAGGACTTTTGTGGATGCATTTGTGAACAACTGTGGTCAGGTTTATCCAGACAAAAAAGTACAAATCTATTATTGCTTGTGTAAATGAACCCATAAATAAAATTGCAAACGAGGCAGCCTGGGAACTTACAAATCAAGCAGAAAAAAGAATACTGCACGGAATTTGGCAATTTGCACCTCTATTCATTTGATCAGAAGCCCCTGGTGACTCAAGTTAACCATGGTTATTGTGGTAATGGGACCGGCTCCACTGCACACCGTGCTGCACGTATCGGGAGAGTGTCGTGGGCCGGATACATTCGGACGTACCTAACACACACACAAAAAAAAAAGAAAAAAAAGAACACAATATGGGTCTCAATGTGGGTCACAATGTGGGTCACAATATGGGTCCGCAGCTGGGGCAAACCCCCCATTCCCCCCCCCCCCCCCCCAATAATTTCACAGCCTGGGTAGAATTGTGAGTGAGGTCCTACGGTCTACCCCCGAACATAACGCTCCCTGATTATGAATGCATACAAACTAGCTTTCCGGTTCGAAACAGTCCTGATGAAGGTGCGTTATGTTCTGGGGAAGACGCCCTGGTAATCAACATTGCAATAAAATTTCGTTTTCAAGGCGGGTAACGACCCTGCAGTATTTCACAGACCTGTAGAATTGTGAATGAGGTCCCTGGGGGCTAAGTCCCACTTACCCCAATCCTTGATTGCTGACCGTAGATTATGAAGATCGACGGCGAGAAATGAAGCACGGGACCAAGTGGGACTTGGCCCCGGGGTCGTTATAGTAATTGTATTTTGTAATTAAATTTGCGTTTTCAAGCTGGGTAATGGTACCCCATTTTGTTCATAGGGTAGAATTGTGACTGTGACCAATGGGTCTAGCGCAGTTTGTACACCCATGACCTGTTGAAATACAGATCTAAGGTCAAATCCAGATGCAGTCAGAATGGCAAAATAATGCACTTCTGAATTACCTGGGCTGGTCAGTTCAATGATGATATCTTTGAGTGAGGTCCCCGGAACCAGGTCCCACATGACCAGATTCTTCGGTACCACTTGACCAGATCCTTTTTTTTGGGGGGGGGGGCGCTCTCAGGACCCACCCCTACCTACCTCATCTTTCTGCTTCCTTAGCATAACTTCTGCTTCCCCATCTACGGGGGCACTTGTTTGGCCCTACCTCGGATGTACTGGACAGCGGTTGCAGACAGACACCAGCGCTAGGCCAGGCCCTAGCTGAAGCACTATCAAGCGAGCCTTGTCGCATGGGCACTTTGGTTGCCAAGCATGATCGTTGTACAGGCTTTGTTTTTTTTCCTATGTGCACCAGCCCGGGTTGGTCAGAGAGTGAATATTCCTTAGAGCCTTCCCTATGCAGTGTCTACTGGTTCTACCCTGACCAAGGTCTTACCTGAGACAGCCCTTCTGACCCAACCGGGCGCCATGTTCCTAGCATAGCCTACTATTATTGTTGTATTAGGCGTTGTGTTATTGTTCATGCTGAAGGGGCAAGGTTATAGATCCCATAACCCGGACCAGTTCACCACAGGGCCAATTCCTGTGAGGGAAGACCTCCGGCCCATCCCCTTTGCACCCTCCGTCGGTTATTATTAGTCATGAGTTATGATCCTAGGCCAGTCCGAAACCGAATGTTCCCACGGAGCCACCTTAGGCAATGTCTTACCTAAGCCAACTCTAGACCAGTCTGGGCACCTTTTGGGATTATTTTATGGTTGGTATCAGTGCCACTCGGTGGGATATGGTGGCGCGCGGTATAGGAGATGGGGTATGTTGGGCAGTGACGGGGAACATCCACGGGTAGTAAGGTAGGGGGAGGAGGGTGGGGCAGATGGGCAGGGGGTGTGGAGTTGCCGGACTAGGTTAGGGCTTGTCATCCTTGGTTGAAAACCCTTCCTTCTTCCTCAACAGTATGGTATGGGTATAGTTTAGGTGGTTTTGAACTCCCTGTGGCGACTCGTCAACAGGTTTGGCGAGGGGGTGTCACACCGTCTTTGATTTTCTTCGGGGGATTGAAGATGGCCGATCATGTCCTTGGTGCCTGCTTTGCTTTGAGCCTGGATGCTGGCAGCGGGAGGAAAGGAGTTTTCCTTCCCCAAGGATGCAGGGGTAGGGTTTGAGGGGTGTGAGGTAACTGTGGTTTGGTTGAAGAAGAAGGGATGGGAGACTGCTTTCTATTGGATTAGGATTTTTCCCACGCATGGCTTGGCTGTCTGATTTGGGGCTGTTTTTTTTCTGAAAATTTTCAGAGCTCCCATCCCTAATTGCTTGTACTAGTCCACGTTGCACCAGTTTACACTTAGTGTCTTTCTAATCTTCTTAGATGGTTTCTGTATGAAAATTTTCTCAATACTTGTATTTCGTGAGCAAGAGTCATAATCTGGAACTTGTAGTTATAATTTTCTCAACAAGGATTTTTCAGTTCTCAATTTCCATAATCGTTTTTCTCTCGTGTCATTCTCAAACTTTTCTGAATATTTCTGATCTATCTTTGATTCCTTCTTAATTTTTCCATGGTAGAGGTTCGAAATCTAATGAACATCGTTTTTTGAATACTTAATTCTAAATTCGTATTATCTCGTATCTCTTTTCTTAAATAGTATATTTGGTATAAATCTAATTCCTGTTTGTAATTGAATTCCTACGTTTTTTGAGTCGATATGTGGTTTTTCTAAATTCGACCTAATTCTACTCGTTAGACTATCGTCAAACTTCTGAATAGGGTGCTCATGAGATAGTCAAATGAAATCTCCCGTAGGGTTTGGGGTTTTCTTGCTTTGAAGTAGGGGGTTGAAGGCATCAAAGGATTCTTTGCTAGGATAGGGGGTAAAATAGGGCTGGTTAACGGGTACCGGTTAGGGGGAGTCCTTAACAAAGGCGATTGGCGATGGGTAGTTAGGTTGTCCAATGGGCACCGGCTGTTGAGGGCGACCTCTAGAGCGATTGGCGTTGGGCAGTGTTGTTCACTTCCTTGATGACGGAGACTGGAGGAATTTCAGGGTGATGATGGTGCCTCCCCCCTGCTGAGATAAGCTATTCTCTGGGGTCCTTACGAGGACGGAGTTGGGAAGGTGAATAAGGTCCTTCCCTTCGATGATGGAGGGGGGATCTTTCAGGTCGTTTGTTTCAGGGCTTGCTGGTTTCCTATTTTTGTTCTATATTTCGTCAGAGGTTTGTCAGAGGTTCGTCAAGTTGTCAGAAGTCGTCAGAAGTTTTTTTGTAGCCAAGGCCTGGTAATGGCTCTGGCATATCATTTTTCTCCTATTAAAAACCTAACGGGACATCTTGTGGAGCTTTTGGGGACCTGCTTTGAAGTAAGGGGCCAGGGGCATCAAATGATTCTTTACAAGGACGGAGAGGGGAAGGAAATAGGGCTGCTCGATGGGTACCGGCTAGAGGGGCCTCTTATCAGATGCGATTGGCGTCAGGTAGTTTAAGCTGGCTGATGGGTACCGGCTGATGAGATGGAACTCTGGCGCGATTGGCGTTGGGTAGTGCTAGTTCACCACCTCGACGACAGAGACTGGGATTCTTGTGGGGGCAAAGAATGTCAGGGTGATGATGGCGCTCGGCCCCCGCGGAGAAGAGGCTCTCTTAAGTTCTTCACGACGACGGAGTCGGGAAGGACGGAGGTGATTGGAAAGGAGGAAGCTGGTAGTGAATGCGATTGGCGCTGAAATTTCGACGGGTACTGGCCACTGACCGCTAACTTCACCCGGATCAGTCTGCGTTTCTTCCTTTCGATGATGGAGGCAGGATTGTTCTGTGGGGCTATTTTTCCAGAAAGAGGTTGAGTGGGATGAATAGATGGTTGGATATCAACCGTCCTACTGGTGAGGGGGCTAGCTTGTAGGATGGAAATAGGGCACAGCAGCAGTGGAGATGGTGGCTCTGCTGCAGTAAGTCTTGCTGGAGTAAGGTAAAGAGGATAAGATGGGGGGGTCTCTGAGTTGTTTTCTGAATTTTGCCTATTGTGAAGCTTCTGTAGTGATTTTCTCAGTACATCAAATTCTTCTTCGCCCCGGGATCCTAAATTTTCAAAATTCTTTCAAAATTCTATGTCAACTTTCATATGGGACACTGGGCCCGGTTCCCAGCACGTGCTGCTCCCCATGAATAGATTGGAGCCTTGATCCCAAAAAAAAAAAAAAAAAAAAGAAGAAAAAAGTGCCACTCTAGGCCAATTCGGATTCTTCATTTCTGGCCGTTGATGTTCATAATATTTGGTCAGAAATTGGGACTTTTTTTTTTTTTTTGGGGGGGGGGGGGGCAATCGTGAATTCAGGTCAGTGGCACTTGGCACCTGACCTCCTTTTTTTGTTTTTTGTTTTTCAGTGCGCTCGACCTCGTTATCCACATAGTAGTAAGATTTCTTTCAAAACTGTTTTCAAAGTTGTAATAAACTAAATTTTATTATCATTTTGCTTTGATAACGTGACCAAGGACCGTACCCACAATTCCACCCTATGAAATACTGGGTGGCCTTTACCCAGATTGTGACACATGTTGCGTGAACCAAGGACTGTACGCACAATTCTACCCTATGAAATACTGGGTGGCCTTTACCCAGATTGTGACACATGTTGCGACCCATGTTGTCTTCAAAGATGTGCATGTTGGAATAATCCTCTCTCCCGCTTGCTAGGCCTCTAATCCTACCTCTTAAGCGGGGTGATGTCCATGATCCGCTGTGCGCCGAAAACCGGCATGAAAATTCGTGTGGGCCATAGGATGGGCCCGATCGACGGGTGCGGTGCAGGAAGAACCAGTTTTCGACTGGTTTGTTCAACGTGGTGAGGGTGGTCATGTGGGGCGGCCTGCGCGGAGTGTCAATCGAGGGAAGATCTCTGAAGGAGAGCAATCTGATAGATACACCGCCATAATTTATCCTATTTTTTACAAAAAAAGGAGTATATTGTATCATCACAGGCCGTGAAACCGGCCCAGCATCCCCCACATCAATAACCACCTCCAACCCTAAACTCTAAAAAAGACCAACAGAATTCCACCCAAAAACAACTAAACAATCAACGAATGAATGCGGCTCACCGGCAAAGAAATGAAAACCAATTACCCACTACACACATCAATGTGA